TGTTGTTGTTGTTGTTGTTGTTGTTGTTGTTGTTGTTGTTGTTGTTGTTGTTGTTGATTAGACCATCTTCAAACAATCGCATTAGTTTTTCTTGATCCTCTGAACCTGTTCAGGCGCTCCTACAAACAAACGCTAAACGTTACAAACGTGCGTTTTTAAATTATTTTTATTGAAGATTTAGAAAATATGTTTATATCTGAGTTACAATGTTCAACTAGTGACAAATGTTTTTGTCTGGATATAAACATTTGTGTTCCTTTTGGGGCTAAAGAAATAAAAATAAATTCTTCTTCCAGAAGTGAACACGCTGCTGTCGACCAATCATGTTCCAGGAAAAATCTTCTAAAGCTTTAAAATGAATTCTACAACAAAACATCAGAACAGAACGAACCAAAACTATCAAACATTAAAATAACCCAAGTTTATCCACGTGTCCAAGAGAAATATATTTCTTTAGCAACATAAAGTGCCAGCAGCTGAACTCCAGGAAAATAAACATTATTTCTGCATTAAATGCTTTCTTTTGATCATTTGAACTTTGTGATTAAATTTGGATTAAAAGTGCAACGAGGATTTTATTCATCAGCTTCTCTGTTGACTGCTGTAACGTCTGGAGGGTCCCTGAACGCACCGTCTCATTTAAACGCCTGAAAACACGAGCAGTCAGTGAAGGTGTTCCTGTAAAAACTAACGCTTGTTATAAAAACAAAGTTCAGATGGAGTTTGATGCAGGACCTGCAGCTTCACGTCAGTTTCAGTCAAAGAAAGAAGGAAACGTCTCGTCCCTGCAGGCTGTTTTTACAGAGCTCAGTGAAGCGAGGCCGCAGGGAAGAACGAGATTCAACGAGAGGAAATCATCAGAAAACTGATGGAGTGAGAATCAAACAATCTGCAGATTGTCAGGACGTGAAACTTGAATCTTTCAGAAATGTTACGGACATTTATCTGATAAAACGTGGTGTGTGTGTTTCTGACACAGAAACCGTGATGTGTGGGTTGGTGCTCCTGCAGCAGTTTAGATCGTAACGAGCTGATGAGCTGCAGGTGTGTTTGTAACATGCTGATGACCTGCAGGTGTGTTTGCTTTTATTGAATGTCTTTACAGAAGAAATGAAGCTCCTTCCTCCAGATGTTTGAGACAATAAAACACTGATGGATCAACAGAAAACAAAACCTTCATATATAGTTTAACGATTGAAGCGTGAGCAGGGGCGGAGCCAGTGGGTGCCGGAGGGGCTCATAGACACTCACCAACTTCAAATAGGTCTTTAAAGACCCTCAGAAAACTTCAAGAAGTGAGAGAAAATGGACAATACAAGTCTAAAACTGAGCTCTGTGGTTTCTGTTTGTTTTGGACAAAACTCCGGATCAGAATCAGCTTTATTTCACAGAGCACAACGAAATTATATTTCAGTGCAGCCCATCTGAAGAACCACAAACAAGCAGACATGGACTTGGATAGACGGGGTGACTGAAGTGGCAGCCTCTGAGAGACGCTCCTTTTTCATGAGATTAGAAAAAGGTGAACACGAAGGAAGTGGGGGCCAAAAAAATAAAATCTCCCACTGTGTCCCTGCAGGACACAGCGTGAGGCTGCAACACCCCAGCACATAAAAAAGCAATGTAAATAGACAGACATATGCATGTGGAGGGGGTGGGGGTCCCAGTACAGGTTGCCAGGTGAGCGACGCAGCCATTGGTTCCTTCACATCTCCTAAGTTGCTGCACCAGGGGAGGGGCAATGAGGGAGGCCAGCAAGGCATGCGTTTGAGGAGCCAAAGTGCCCCCCCCCCCCCCC